ATAACACAGGAGCAATACACACCTTCCACAAAGTGACTGTATGTATAACACAGGAGCAATACACACCTTCCACAAAGTGACTATGTATAACACAGGAGCAATACACACCTTCCACAAAGTGACAGTATGTATAACACAGTAGCAATACACACCTTCCACAAAGTGACAGTATGTATAGCACAGGAGCAATACACACTTTCCACAAAGTGACAGTATGTATAGCACAGGAGCAATACACACCTTCCACAAAGTGACAGTATGTATAGCACAGGAGCAATACACACTTTCCACAAAGTGACAGTATGTATAGCACAGGAGCAATACACACCTTCCACAAAGTGACAGTATGTATAGCACAGGAGCAATACACACCTTCCACAAAGTGACAGTATGTATAGCACAGGAGCAATACACACCTTCCACAAAGTGACAGTATGTATAGCACAGTAGCAATACACACCTTCCACAAAGTGACAGTATGTATAGCACAGGAGCAATACACACCTTCCACAAAGTGACAGTATGTATAGCACAGGAGCAATACACACCTTCCACAAAGTGACAGTATGTATAACACAGGAGCAATACACACCTTCAACAAGCTGCAAATATGTCCTTCTTGCATGACACAGACACCAGGTTGGAAAGACGGGTCTGCATCTAAATCGTCAATATAATCAGAACTTTCTGCAATACCACATCTTTGGGGACTCATGGACCTAATTAAAACTTTTACTTGTAGAAAATATTTTTAAAAGTTGATGTTTATAAGCTTACAAATGAGCAAAGATACTATCACTTTATGGGTGCATGAACATCAAACGCTGAAAGCAAGGATGAAATTTACAGCACAGGTACCAAAAACAACACTGTCAACTTAAACTAATGGTAAGGAAGCGTATAAAAGTCCCTCAATGATACAGCGAGAAAGAATCGCAAGTAAGAAAGCAAAAGGAGACATCTCATACCACGGCGTATACGGTCACATGCCTCCGTATATATTCTCACAAAGGGGCGTAAGAAGGCATACGCCTCTATGTGAGATGCAGTTTCCTGCCCGAGAGCTATAGGGCTAAATGTTTTTTGCTCATAACTCCGCCATTTTTAAAGCTATCGATACGCCGTTTTGAGAGAAGATAGATCTCACTACCGGACATACCATGGTGGTGTTAACTCAAAACCGGTAATTTTGACGATACGCCCTTTTGTGAGATGGGCGACGATATATATATATATATATATATACATAACCTTTTGTGAGATGGGCGACGATATATATATATATATATACACAGTCGAACCTGCCCTGACGGCCACCTCTATAAGACGGCCACCTGTACTAACGGCCACTTTCCATTTCCCCCCTTGCGTTTTTTTTCTATATTTTTTAACTGTGTAAAACAGGCACCTGTCCAACGCGGCCGCGGCCACCATATTTTAACACACAACCCCCATCACACTAAGCAATAATACCTGTCTTAGACGGCCACCTTAGTGACTCCACTATGTTTTGTCATAAATTGTGCATTGGCCCCTAGCGTTGTGGGCCAGCCGTCATAATTTTTCAATCTGCTGTCGTTGTTGTTAGGTAGTCCCTCCAACCGATCATGTTGTGTAGGCCCCTCCCACTGTTGACCAATAGCTACCAATTTTCAGCTGCAGGTGAGGTAAGCATGTGATCCCTCATAACCCATAAGCCCCGCCCAGAACTCCTACACAAATCGTAAGTGAGATAAGTGGTCACTGTTTACCAAGTCTGTAACAAAGTAACAATGGACGTCAACATGAACTTGCGACAGAAGCGTCGCTCGCTGTCCAAGTGTTAGCGACCCATGTGTTTGTTTTAACACGGCACTGGGTCTTCCTCGTCTGATACATTTCTTTTTTTTTGTCACCCTTGCGCAAAATCAGCAACAAAATAAAAATAACAAACATTAAAATACATACCAACAATAACAAAAACAACAACAATGCGGCTACTTTCGATTGGGACCTCAGATGGGAATGGTTTGTTTTCTTCATCTTGATCAGTCCTGCCTAAGACGGCCACCTGTCTTATATGGCCACTTTTCTCCTTGACAATGGGTGGCCGTCTTACACAGGTTTGACTGTATACGTAACTGTATTGCTGTATATATACGTTACTGTATTGTTGTATATATATATATATATATGTATATATATATATATATATATATATATATATAT